CCGTGATCAGCCACCAGGTGGCGCTGCACTCCAATGCCTTCTCCTCATCTACGTTCTGCCATCGGAGGAGGAAGTGGGGCTTGCAGCATGAATCTGTAACGGGGGCAATACTTGGGCGGAGGAGCGGCAAGGTGAGCGCTCCCTGCGCTCCGATCACTGCCCCTCCCCCACATGGGGAGGTACCACCATCTGCGAGGGTGGCGTCGCACACAGGAGGACTCCGCATGCCGGGGGGTACAGGAAGCTTCCATCGCCCACCGACAGTGCGCCATAAAAAAACCAGAAGGAATGCCCCTCCCCCCAGAAGGAATGCCCCTCCCCGCCAGAAGGAATGCCCCTCCCCGCCAGAAGGAATGCCCCTCCCCCCAGAAGGAATGACTCTCTTTCTGCTCTCCTTGCCTGATCTGCACGCTGGTCCTGGGCCAGTGACCTCCATGTGATCGACCCGTGTCCTGCAGTGATATGGAGAGCAGCGGAAGACATAGGAGGTAAACCCCCCGCCCCCTGGCATGCATTGTGGGCGGAGCTCCCTGTATAATGACACAACTTACTCTCCTTCTGTAACTTCCGCACTTTGATTTTCAGCTCGCGGGGCAACAATCTCCAGGCTGGAAGACACAAGGAAGACCATAAAGAACTCTCCGGAAAACTCCGCCCCCCTCCCCCCCCGAGCTATGAGAGCTTCTACATACGGAGGGGGGGAGGAGTTCCTTCAATCGTCATCACACACAACCAATCACAATACTATCAATTATTCATTACTTAACAGATGGACTTGTATTCTCTCCCCGTCCTCTCACTTCCTGTCCCCTCTCCCTGTCCTCTCTCCCTGTCTTCTCTTCCTGTCCCCTCTCCCTGTCTTCTCTCAATGTCCTCTCTCTCTGTATTCTCTCCCCGTCCTCTCACTTCCTGCCCCCTCTCCCTGTCCTCTCACTTCCTGCCCCCTCTCCCTGTCCTCTCACTTCCTGCCCCCTCTCCCTGTCCTCTCACTTCCTGCCCCCTCTCCCTGTCCTCTCACTTCCTGCCCCCTCTCCCTGTCCTCTCACTTCCTGCCCCCTCTCCCTGTCCTCTCACTTCCTGCCCCCTCTCCCTGTCCTCTCACTTCCTGCCCCCTCTCCCTGTCCTCTCACTTCCTGCCCCCTCTCCCTGTCCTCTCACTTCCTGCCCCCTCTCCCTGTCCTCTCACTTCCTGCCCCCTCTCCCTGTCCTCTCACTTCCTGCCCCCTCTCCCTGTCCTCTCACTTCCTGCCCCCTCTCCCTGTCCTCTCACTTCCTGCCCCCTCTCCCTGTCCTCTCACTTCCTGCCCCCTCTCCCTGTCCTCTCACTTCCTGCCCCCTCTCCCTGTCCTCTCACTTCCTGCCCCCTCTCCCTGTCCTCTCACTTCCTGCCCCCTCTCCCTGTATTCTCTTCCTGTCCCCTCTCCCTGTCTTCTCTCAATGTCCTCTCTCTCTGTATTCTCTCCCCGTCCTCTCACTTCCTGTCCCCTCTCCCTGTCCTCTCTCCCTGTATTCTCTTCCTGTCCCCTCTCCCTGTCCTCTCTCCCTGTATTCTCTTCCTGTCCCCTCTCCCTGTCCTCTCTCCCTGTCTTCTCTTCCTGTCCCCTCTCCCTGTCTTCTCTCAATGTCCTCTCTCTCTGTATTCTCTCCCCGTCCTCTCACTTTCTGTCCCCTCTCCCTGTCCTCTCACTTCCTGTCCCCTCTCCCTGTATTCTCTCAATGTCCTCTCTCTCCCTGTATTCTCTCCCTGTCCTCTCTCTCCCTGTATTCTCTCCCTGTCCTCTCTCTCCCTGTATTCTCTCCCCGTCCTCTCACTTCCTGTATTCTCTCCCCGTCCTCTCACTTCCTGTCCTCTCTCTCCCTGAATCTATCTATCTATCTATCTATCTATCTGTCTGTCTCCTCTGTAGATAATCTGATTGGAGGCGGGGTCTCAGTTGGTCGGTGGTATAAGGGGAGGGGTTAGGGTAATTCCGCCTCTGTACAGATCTTACCGGGGTGCCAGTCAATGGCGTTGTCCACGGGTCCAGACGTCTGATACTTATCAGAATAACGTTCCACATCTGAGGGAGAAGAAGGAGATATAAATAGACGCCACTTCCTGCGTCACCCCG